CCTGCCTCAGCCTCCTGAGTAGCTGGGATTACAGGCACGCGCCACCATGCCCAGCTAATTTTTTGTAGTTTTTTAGTAGAGACGGGGTTTCACCGTGTTGACCAGGATGGTCTCGATCTCTTGACCTTGTGATCCACCCGCCTCGGCCTCCCAAAGTGCTGGGATTATAGGCGTGAGCCACCGCGCCCGGCTATTTTTTATTTTTTTTTTATTTTTTTGAGACAGTCTTACTCTGTCACCCAGGCTGGAGGTGCCATCTCAGCTCATTGCAACCTCCACCTCCCAGGTTCAAGCGATTCTCTTGCTTCAGCTTCCCAAGTACCTGAGACTACAGACATGCATCACCACGCCCAGCTAATTTTTGTATTTTTAGTGGAGACAGGGTTTCACCATGATGGCCAAGCTGATCTCGAACTCCTGACCTCAAGTGGTCCGCCTGCCTCAGCGTTCCAAAGCTCTGGGATTACAGGCATGAGCCATCACAACTGACAATGCTTGGTGAATCTAAATGATAGGTATATAGAAATCCATTGTATTATTTCTTCAACTTTCCCACAGATTTAACATTTTTCCAAAAATAAATTGGGGTAAAAATTCCTGTATCAGTAAAATGAATAAAAAACGTCTATAGGAAAGTCCAAAATCATCAATAATTTATATGTGGATTTTTTTCACAATTCTTTAACAATAGCACATTGCGTCACAGAGTACAAGCTGAAAGAGACTGGGGACTTTAGGCCAGTCATCTTTTGAATCATTTTAATTATATAGGTGATATATGATCATATTAGCAGAAGTAGAAAAGGCAGATAAACACCAAGAAAAAAATAAAAATAATATGTAATTTTACCTCCTAGAGATTTCATACAGTCATGTATCACAATAATGTTTCGGTCAAAGACAGATTGCATATTTAACAGTGGTCCCGTAAGAATATAATACCACATTTTTATTCTACTCTTTCTATGTCGAGATGCACAAATGCTTAACAAACACTTGATGTGTTACAATTGCCTGTAGTATTCTGTACAGCAACATGATATCCAGGTTTGTAGCCTAGGTGTGTAGTAGGCTATACCATCTAGGTCTGTGTGAGTACACTCCACAATGTTCATATGACAATGAAATTGACTAATCACACATTTCTCAGAACAAATCCCTGCTGTTAAACAACACGACTGTATTTTGGTATAAATTTTTTCAGAATCATTTCTGTTCATATATATGCACACATAAATACATACTGTGGTTGGTTTTGGTTTTTTTTTTGAGGCGGAGTCTTGCTCTGTCGCCCAGGTTGGAGGGCAGAGGCGTGATGTCGGCTCACTGCAACTTCCGCCTCCCAGGTTCAAGCGATTCTCCTGCCTCAACTTCTCCGAGTAGCTGGGACTACAGGCGTGTGCCACCACACCCGACTAATTTTTCGTATTTTTAGTCTAGATGGGGTTTCCCCATGTTAGCCAGGATGGTCTCAATCTCCTGACTTTGTGATCTGCCCGCCTCAGCCTCCCAAAGTGCTGGGATTACAGGCATGAGCCACCACGCCTGGCCAAATACATACTATTTTTTTACAGAATTGTGAACATGTTGGATAAAATATTTTAGAGCTTGCTTTCTTGCAGTGACATCTGGAAGTATTTTTCATGTCAATAAGTACATTTTTATGCCAATATTTTTAATGGTTGCATAGTTCTTTATCATCCAGATTTATAAACTTTACTAAACTAATACTTTAGAATATTTATATAATTTTCAGTTTTTCACTATTTTCATGATATAGAAAAATATAACTTATAAAAACTAAAAACTAAAATCCCTAATATTCTTTTTTGTTGTTTTTTTTTTGGAGACAGAGTCTCCCTCTGTCACCTAGGCTGGAGTGGAGCGGCACAATCTCGGCTCACTGCAACCTTCACCTCCCAGGTTCAAGCAAGTCTGCCTCAGCCTCCCGAGTATCTGGGACTACAGGCATATGCCACCATGTCCAGCTAATTTTTTCTTTTGTATTTTAGTAGAAATGGGATTTCACCATGTTGCCCAGGCTGGTCTCGAACTCCTGAGCTCAGGCAATCTGCCCACCTCGGCCTCTCAAAGAGCTGGAATTACAGGCGTGAGCCACCGTACCCCACCAGCCTTGCATTGTTTAACTCAGTTTGACTAATAAAAGTCATGGCTGAATTTCAATTCTGTAGACTTTTGACAGTTGTTAGCAAGGAATCTTGGATTGGTAAGAGACTGCTGATTTGCCTGTTAGAAGGAATGAAAGCATCAAGTTATAATGCTTGGGTCAGAGACCACTACTTGTCTCCCAATACTCATTCTCCCTTTCTTCCATAGAAATAGAATTTGTATTAAGCACATAGCTGCCGACCTAAGGACTCTTTCCCAGTTTCTTTTACAGCTAGGTATGATCATTTAGCTGAACTCTAGCGATGAATGTGAGCAAACATCATGGTGCTACTTCCAGATGGTGCCCATAAAAGGAATAGGTGACCATTACACTTTTTCCTCATTCCTGCTGTCTGGAATGCAAATTCAATAGCAGGAACTGGAGCAGCCTCTTGAATCAGAAAATAAAAACCACAGGTCAAGAACAGTCCGTAATGATTATGAAACTACTGTACTTAGTAGTTTACTAAGACTTAGACTACCTACCTGTTCTTTTAATGTAAGAAAAATAAACTATTTTTTCTGGGTTTTTCCACTGGAACAATCAAACCTGTACCACAACTTAGAGCTTGATTCTCCTAGTTAGGTAGAGATGTCTGCAAGACTTGCAGATACTAAGAATATAAAGCCTAATTCATGTTGGGATGAAGACCCTTTGAGTTAGGGTTATAATTGTTCTATATTTTTCATCATAGGAAAGACTTAGGTGGTTTTTAAGGAATTTTTTATTTGTTTTGAGATAGAGTCTCGCTCTGTTGTCCAGGCTGGAGTGCAGTAGTGCGATCACGGCTTGCTGCAACGTCTGCCTCCCAGGTTCAAGCAATTCTCTGCCTCAGCCTCCTGAGTACCTGAGATTATAGGTGCCTGCTACCACGCGCAGCTAATATTTTGTATTTACACTAGAGATGAGGTTTCAGTTTCACCATCTTGGTCAGGCTGGTCTTGAACTCCTGACCTCATGATTCACCTGCCTCGGCCTCCCAAACTGCTGGGATTATAGGTGTGAGTCATCACACCCAGCTAATTCATTTCTTAAAAACAAAATGAGGGTGAGAGTTTTTCCCAATTTTATGAACAACTTTATAGCTAAATTTATGTATAGATCATTAATAATTTTCTCATAATAAATTCCAAGAAACAAAATGATGTGATTGAAGGATATCCACATTTTATAAACATTGCCTATACTGAAATGTACCAATTTACATTCCTATGTTGTAAGTGAGGAAATCTAGGCAATAAATGTTAATGACATGGGGCTTCTGAATCTCTAACAGGATTCTGAGATCTCTAAATAAAAATATGTTGGCTTGTGGATACTGATGGTACTTGCCTGCTTTGCACATGTAGAAGGTTCCTGTCAGGTTGGTCTCAACCACAGCATTCCATCCCTTAGAACTGATGTGTTCAGCAGGGGAAAGAAACTGGCCTCCTCCATTGTTTACCAAGAAATTGATCTTACCATAAATATCTAAGGTAGATTTGACCAAATTATTCACCTAAAGAAGAACATTGGTTGTGTTAGAAACATTCCAACAAAAAAAAAAAAAGAAGAAGAATATTGGAAGTTATTAAAAGTAAAAGATTAGCCGGGCACGGTGGCTCACGCCTGTAATCCCAACACTTTGGGAGGCCGAGGCGGGTGGATCACGAGGTCAAGAGATCGAGACCATCCTGGTCAACTTGGTGAAACCCCGTCTCTACTAAAAATACAAAAAATGAGTTGGGCATGGTGGCGCGTGCCTGTAATCCCAGTTACTCAGGGGGCTGAGGCAGGAGAATTGCCTGAACCCAGGAGGCAGAGGTTGCGGCGAGCTGAGATTGCGCCATTGCACTCCAGCCTGGGTAACAAGAGCGAAACTCCGTCTCAAAAAAACAAAAAAAGTAAAAGATTAATAGCCTAACTTGTTACCTCACCTGATTGCTTGCTCTAGACAGGGACTGCAGTCTCTCACAGTGTACAGTAACTCCAAGTACCACAACGAATGAATATGCAGCAACGAATAAACCTAAAAATTCTACACCAATTAGTAATGTACCAGCATCCAATACCCACAGATCACGATGCTAAAATTGTAATTTGATGACAAGATATATCCAATGGCCTGGAACACCCTTAAGTAGGGCAGGCCTCAGTTATATATTACTTTGTAAGCTACCAACACAGAATAAACAGTGATGAAATCAGATTAAAATAAACATTAAAAAAAAAAATGACTCAAAGGGCCAGGCATGGTGGCTCACGCCCATAATCCTAGCACTTTGAAAGGCCAAGGCGGGTGGATCACCTGAGGTCAGGATTTGAGACCAGCTTGGCCAACACGGTGAAACCCTGTCTTTATGAAAAATACAAAAACTAGCTGGGCATGGTGGCACGCACCTATAGTCCCAGGTACTCAGGAGGCTGAGGCAAAAGAATCACTTGAACCCAGGAAATGGAGGTTGCAGTGAGCCCATATTGCGCCACTGCACTTCAGCCTGGGAAACAGAGTAAGACTCTGTCTCAAAAAAAAAAAAAAGACTTAAAGGGCAAAAGTCCGTCTCTGGCTGAGGCCACATTCTTGCTTCTCTTCCTCTCCTTCTCCAAGGGTCACTGGCTCAGTAAATCATTAACGTGAGAATCTCCTCCCCAGCTTCTGCTTCTAGTGAACCTCATCTAAGACAACTACCATAGGAGAACCTGAAGCAAAGCCAGGTTTAAGAACCACTACTGCAAACTACAATGAATGAATAAACGATATAGATATATCTGCATTACCTCCTCTTCTTTCCGGATGTTGCATTGTATGGGAACGACTTGCGCCTGGCTTGTGGGAGGTAGGCTGGCCTTCAGTTCATCTGCCACAGATTTCAGTCTCTCAAATTTACGGGATGCAATGACCACATTACTCCCTGAGGAGAATCAGCCAGAGAGCAAGTAAATAAACCTTCATGGGACACCATGAACACATCATACCTTGAGAAGTAAATAGCCAGAGAGCAAAAAAATGTGACTTCACGAGTTGTCCAAATTCCATCAATAATTTTTTTTTTTTTTTTTTAGAACGGGGGTGTTGCTTTATTGCCCAGGGTAGAATGCAGTCTAAAAATGGGTATGCCTATAATTGTGCTTATAGAGACATGAAAAAAAAAAAACGAAGAAAATAACAAGCAAGCAGCCAACCAATATTTCATTGAAACCTCTAAATAGATGTGATGTGGTACTGATAAGAGAGTATATTTTGTGTATTTAAAGTGGAGAGTTCTATAAATGTTAATTAAGCTTACTTGTTCTGGATCTGAGTTCAAATCCTGGATATCGTTAATTTTCTGTCTCATTGATCTGTCTAATATTGATGTTGAAGTCTCCCACTATTATTGTGTGGGAGTCTAAGTCTCTTTATAAGTCTTATATATCTGGGTATTCCTGTATTGGGTGCGTATATATTTAGGATCTTTAGCTCTTCTTGTTGCATTGATCCTTTTACCATTATGTAATATCCTTCTTTGCTTCTTTCGATCTTTGTTGCTTTAAAGCAACTCCTGCTTTTTATTTATTTATTTTTGCTCTCCATTTGGTTGGTAAATCTTTCTCCATCCCTTTGTTTTGAGTCTGTGTATCCTTGCATATGAGATGGATCTGGATGCAGCATACCGATGAGTTTTGGCTTTTTTTGCCTGTCTGTGTCTTTGGATTGGGGGATTTAGTCGATTTGAATTTAGAATTAATAATAATATATGTGAGTTTAATACTGCCATTTAATGTTAGCTGGCTGTTTTGCCTATTAGTTGATGTAAATTCTTGATTATGTTCATGCTGTTTACTTTTTGGTATTTTTTAGAAAGGCTGATACTGGTTGTTCCTTTCTATTTGTAGTGGTTCTTTCAGAAGCTCTTGTAAAGCAGGCCTGGTGGTGATGAAATCTCTGAGTGCTTGCTTGTTCACAAAAGATTTTATTTTTCCTTCGCTTATGAAGCTTAGTTTGGCTGGATGTAAAATTCTGGGTTGAAAGTTCTTTCCTTTAAGGGTGTTGAATATTGGCCCCCACTCTCTTCTAGCTTGTAGAGCTTCTGCTGAGAGATCTGCTGTGAGTCTGATAGGCTTCCCTTTATGGGTAACCTGACCTTTCTCTCTGGCTGCCCTCAGTATTTTCTCCTTCATTTCAACCCTGGTGAATCTGGCGATTATGTGCCTTGAGGTTGGTCTTCTTGAGGAATATCTTTGTGGTGTTCTCTGTATTACCTGGAGTTAAATATTGTCCTGCCTTGCTAGGTTGGGAAAGTTTTCCTGAATAATATCCTGAAGCGTATTTTCCAGCTTGGACTGATTCCTTTCGTCACATTCAGGTACACCTATCAAGCGTAGATTAGGTCTTTTCACATAGTCCCATATTTCTTGGAGACTTTGCTCATTCCTTTTTATCCTGTTTTCTCTAATCTTGTCTTCTTGTTTTATTTCATTAAGTTGGTCTTCAACTTCTCATATCTTTTCTTCTGCTTGATTGATTCGGCTGTTAAAACTTGTGCATCGTTCGCCAAGTTCTCGTGTTGTGTTTTTCAGCTCCATTAATTCACTTATATTCCTCTCTAAATTGTGTATTTTTGTTAACATTTCATCAAACCTTTTTTCAAAGTTCTTAGTTTCTTTGCATTGGGTTAGAACAAGTTCTTTTAATTCCCAGAAGCTTCTTATCACCCACCTTTTGAAGGCTGCTTCTGTTAATGGAACACACTCGTTCTCCATCAGGCCTTATTCCGTTGCTGATGAGGAATTGTGATCCCCTGTAGATGGAGAGGCGTTCTGATTTTGGGTATTCTCAGCCTTTTTAGGCATTTTCTTCCCTTCATTATACATTTATCCATCTGTGGTCTTTATAATTGGGTTTCTGAGTGGACGTCCAACTTGTTGATTCCCAGCGCTAAAATCTGAGCAACCCACTGCGCCGGCCAAAACAGCGGCATTAAGATTGATGGTGCTTTTCTGATTCTGCACCAAGAACCACCGCACCAAGGCAGTGGAAAAATCGCCTCACCAGCCACAAGTGTCATGCTGGCGACCCGTGGGGCTCCTCCGCTGGGAATCTCCTGGTGCGTGAGCAACAAAAATTCATTTGAAAGTGTGGCGTCCTCTCGTTCTCTGTGCTTCCACTGGGAGCTACAATCCCGAGCTGCTAGTGATCAGCCAGCTTGGATCTCTCTCCCATTTTTTTAAATGTTTTTTTTATTTCAGAATCAGGGTCTCACTCTGTTAGTCAGGCTGGAGTGCAGTGGTTTGACATAGCTCACTGTAACCTTGAACTTCTCCCAAGATAAAGCAATCTTCCCACCTGACCTCCCAAAGTGTTGGGACTACAGGCACAAGTCACTGCCCTGGCCATGTATGTTCCTATGTCGTTTTTTTTTTTTTTTTCATCTCCAAAAAAGTTTATTAGCATGATTAAAAACATTTTCTTGAATAATAACAAAGAATTTCTAAGCATGAAAGAATATCAGTGGCTAAACCTTAAAACCAGTATTTGGAACTGAATGGACAGCTTTATTGCCAGTCTTCATTTTATTAAAAACAATCCATTGATTGGCTCCATGAAGTCGTGACTATTGCTTTGTCTGGGAATGAGTCCCTACTGCAATTAAGTATAAAAAATATCTTCCATCATAATTGGAGTGTGACCTGCATTAGAGAGTGGCTCTGAGTAAAGAGTTGATAAAAATCCACAAAGAGTTGGGTTTTTCTCTTTTAAAAACATTCCTTTACACACTACAAAGAAATAATTAGTATTTTGGCTTTTAAAATTCCTACATGATATTTAGAATGGCAGTCCCCAAGGGTCCTCCCTTCACATAATTGTGAATGCAGACCCTCTTCTGAGGGCACATCCCAGAGGGTGTGGACTCTGAAGACTTCAACCTCCCCATGTTTATACTGGTTTGAGAACAAAGACAGCGTCATCCAGAACGTAGTAGTCATTATACATGTCACCTTCACACAGGTATGGCAGTCTGGTGAAAGCTTCAATAACAAAACCGGCTTTTCTGAAAACTTCAGGCAGACTATTCACTTGTTCTTCCCAGTTCTGTCCCTTGATTTCCAAAATTTCCGATGGTTTCTCCCACTTGCCACCTATGTTTTCCACGTAGGGATGAAAGGGGAGGACCAGGGCAAGGATGACCCTGCCTCTCCTTGGCTCCAAGACACTTCTGATATCCTTTAACAAAGTCAGGGGCTGATCACAGCGGTCCAGCAAGTTCAGGCAGCTAATGACATCATACTGGAACCCTGTATTCTGCCATTCATTTATACCAAGCACTCTGTATTTCTTCTTCTGAAGCTGCCATATCATAGTTTCAGAAAGCTCAGTGGCATAGATTTCTTCAAAATGAGGGCTCATGATTTTTGTGACTTCTCCATCTCCAGCACCTAAATCAAGAAGTCTGTGGGTTTTCCAGTCTGGATTAATTTTAAGCAGTCTCTGAAACTGATCTGGTGAAAACACAAACATTGAGCCTCTTCCTAGCAACCCATTGATAGATGTTCTAGACATAAACAGGCTAAAAACAGATGACACAAAAGAATGATATAATTGGATAAATAGCCAGCCAGATTTCTCAATGCTGTTGTTTAAGAAGATCTGTGTTCCTTGATCAAGGTAACTCTGAACAAAGACAGCCTGGAGTGATTCGCATGATTTCTCTCTGTTGCACACATACCACTGGTGGTTCTCCTTCCCGCCGCCCGCGGCCGCCGCCGGCCCGCTGGGGCCGCTCGTCATGTTCACGTACAGGGAGCGGGTGAGCGGGCTCCGCAGCGTCCACATCCTCCGCGCCAGCCACACGGACGCCAGGCTCAGGCACAGCCAGCCCACCAGCAGTCTCATCGGGAGGCGCGCCCGCTCGCTCCGATCACCGCCGGCGCCGAGGCGAGGAGGAGCAGGCGCCGCCGCCCCCAGCCACCGCCGCCACCGCCCGGGCTCGAGCCATCGTGCCCGACTTGCCCATCCAGCCCTCTTCAGGGCCGAGGCTGGCGGTGGGCTGTTGTTTTTTTTAAAAAAAAAAAAAAAAAGATAAATTAGGACTTTTGCTTCTGGACAAGATGGAGTAATAGGAACTGAATTTGCCCTCAAGCCTGAATCAACTAAAAAATTGGACAAAATATATGAAACAATGGTTTTCAGGCACCAGACATGAAGTAGCACTGGACAGTCACCTCTGGGAGAGTGAAAACAAACATGAGCCCTTGTTTGCTGCCTGGTGAGACGGTCTAGACTAAAGCAAAAGAAGGAAACACATTCAGAGACCAAAGTCTCCCTGGTGGAAGAGATGAAGTTGGGCGTCCCGGCAGCCAAGGCCGTGAAACTACCCAGGTATAGGGAGAAAAGATACACAGAGAGAGAGGGTTCACATCCACAGATGTGAAGGGTTCCTCTTGAATCTTCACCTGAGTACTGATCAATGCTTGGGAATAAATCAAAGAGGAAAGGACCACCAAAAATGGGCAAGGAGGTCAAATCCTGGCACTCACATGGCACTGGGAATGATCGGTGTGCCCACCAGAAAAAAAGCCTTTCATGGGGTATTCGGTAAAATACGCAGAAGAGGATGGCTTCAGCAGCGAGGCAAAATTCACCATAGACTAAAGGCTGCTCAGATCAAACATCTTTTAAAGTATCAAATTGTTTTCAAGTAACTGAACTGTATCCCAGAACAAAGCTCAAGAATATTTACAAGAATGTAAAAATGGTCAACATCCATCAAGGTCAAATTCAGTATCTGGCATCTAACAAAAAAACTACCAGGTATGCCAAGGAGCAGGAAAATAACAGCACATAATAAGGAGAAAAGTCAATTAATAAAAACAGACCCAGAAATGACACTGATGTTATAATTAAACAGACCAGTGATGAAGAGGAAAATCTTAAAAGCAGCCAGAGGAAAACAACACATTAAGTATAGAACAAGAGATAAAGACTTCTTTCAGAAACAATGCAAGCCAGCAGACAGTGGAACATCTTTACGGTAACTGAAAGCAATGAAAAAGTTTGTGAACCTAGAAATCTTGACCCAGTGAAAATATCTCTCAAAAATGAGGGGAAAATAAAGACATTTTTCACACCTATGAAAGCCAGAAAAATTCATCAAAGTGATCTGCACTAAAAAAAGGTGAAAGGAAGTCAGTCCTTCAAGGAGAAGGAAAATGATGCCAGATAAAAATCTAAAATATGCAAAAGAAGAAAGAAACTTAAAATGTTCATTTGTGTGTTTTTGAGACAGGGTCTTATTCTGTTGCCTAGGCTGGAGTGCAGTGGCGGTCTTGGCTCACTGCAGCCTTGACCTTCTGGGCTCCACTGATCCTCCCACCTCAGCTTCCCGAGTAGCTGGGACCACAGGCATACACCACCATGCCCGGCCAATTTTTTTATTTTTAAAAGAGGGGAGTAGGGAAAAAAAAAAAAACCCCAAACAAAAAAAAAAAAAAAAAAAAAAAAAAAAAAAAACCACTTTTGGAAATATTTCATGACATTGAAAGTATAAAGGATAAAATGTTAAAATCAGCTAATCCAAACATAGAAGGGAGTACGACAATTCAACAAGGTATAGAAAAAATGCTTGCTCCATATCATAAGGTATACAATGAGAAAGTAAGCACTAATCAAATGACTCTTGACACACTTTTCACATGGAAATTAAACACTTTAATTTTTAACTTTAATTAAACATTTTAATGGGGTAAAATATAATATTTTGATATATAAATACATTGTGGAATAATGAAATCAGGCTAATGTATCTATCACCTCTTATCATTTCTTTAAGAACATTCAAAATCCACTATTTTCACTATTTTGAAATACACAATGCATTACTAACACCATCATGCTGTGCAATAGATCATCAGAACTTATTTCTCCTGTCTAAATGAAACTTTGTACTCTTTAAAACATCTCTCCAGTAAAACTAGTCTAGGTCTACTATTTTTTTTCATTTCCCTATACATGTGTAACTAACAATAAGAGAATTTCTAATGCTTTGACAAAAATTTTTGAAGGTCATGAAACACTTGTACTTTTTCCCACTATTTTTGCTTTGCATGGTTTCAGCTTGCTCAATCATTGTTACAATGCTACAATGCCATGCAAAAGCAAAGACTACCTATGAACTGTTAAGTGGTTCTTTCACATATATATTTTTAGAGATGAGGTCTCCCTGTGTTGCCTAGGCTGGACTGCAGTGGCTTTGCAGTCTTAAATTCTATGTGAGGCGTTATAGTTATAGACTGTTCTCATCCTAATACAGCATTTAGACCTTCACTGTATCATAATTACCTGTTAATTTAACAGTCCGCTCCATTCACAAACAAAACATATATGTGTGTGTATGTGTATGCGTGTGTGAGTATACATGTGCTTATTAGATTTACAGAAAATCACCAAGAAGGGAATTTAGAAAAAGGGCAGAATGGGTAAAGCTCATTTTTTCTTTTATATACTTTTACACTATTTTAATGTATTACAAACCTCTTATGCTACCTTATAAATAAACTAGAAAATTATTAGATATCATCCTTACCTTTCATGTTAAATCATTTAGATAGATTTTATTTTTGTTTACATGTAGCTAGAGAGATCCAGGAAGCTCAACTGACCTGGCTGGAATAGGTATAGAAGCAGCTTTTGGATAAGGAGTTGTTTCAGCATCAGAGGCTTGTAGCCCAGTATGCTGTGTTCCTGCTTAGGCTGATACTGATCCCTTTCTATCTTCAACTCAGAATAATATATTTATTAAGCACCTTCTTGGTCCCTGGTGTTGGTAACAGACTAGTTGGACTAGACTAGAGCAAGAAAAAGTGCTGTCATGGCTCCTAATTTCCACTTGCATTTCCCAATTTCATTTTATCTACTATGCATACTTTATGTTCTACTGTGGTAATGGAAAGTGAATGATTAACTTGAAGATAAAAAAAAAAAAAACAAGGACCTGATATGAATTCAACTTTATGTCTTAGGTTTTCCTTGATGAAATCAGGTTTCTCTCCACCTAACAGCACCACTCAAAGGTACGAAGGAGATCTAATTCTGCCCACAATATCCTGCTTTTGTGAGCTAAAGCTTTCTGTGTCCTCTTAGCAAAAAGAAAAGTCAAAATCCTATGGATGTGAAAGACAATACAGTAATCATCATTTAAAAAGTCATGCCTCAAAATTCATGCCAAACAAACATAATTCACACCAAAAAATAAAAAAAAATAAAAAATAAAATAAAAAAAAACCAGTGGCCTTCTGACTAGAGGCTGGGGGCAGTGGCTCATGCCTGTAATCCTAGCACTTAGAGAGGTCAAGGCAGGCAGGTAACTTGAGGTCTGGATTTCGAGACCAGCCTGGCCAATATGGGAAAACCCTATCTCTTCTAAAAATATAAAAACTAGCCAGGCGTGGTGGTGCATGCTTGTGGTCCCGGCTACTTGGAAGGCTGACATGAGACTCGCTTGAACTCAGGAGGTGGAGGTTGCAGTGAGATGAGATCATGAGACTGCCCTCCAGCCTGGGTAACAGAGCAAGATTCTATCTCAAAAAAAAAAAAGTTAACACTTTCTTTTTTGCTCAATTTGAGTTTATATAACAATGTTGTGGAAATAGCCATTAATTCTGGCATAAAAAAATGAAGAGGAGAAAGTCATTATAAAAACGACTTTTACGGCCGGGTACAATGGCTCACACTTGTAAATGTTTGTTTGTTTGTTTTTGAGATGGAGTCTTGCTCTGTCACCCAGGCTGTAGCGCAGTGGCATGATCTCGGCTCACTGCAACCTCAGCCACCCAGGTTCAAGTGATTCTCCTGCCTCAGCCTTCCGAGTAGCTGGGATTACAGGCACGTGCCACCACATCTGGGTAATTTTTGTATTCTTAGTAGAGATGGGGTTTCACCATATTAACCAGGCTGGTCTCAAACTCTTAATCTCATGATCCTTGGCCTCCCAAAATGCTGGGATTACAGGCATGAGCCACCACATCCAGCCCTGCATGTATACCTTTCTTTCTTTCTTTTTTTTTTTTTTTTTTGAGATGGGGTCTTGCTCTGTTGCCCAGGCTATAGTGCAGTGGTGCAATCTCTGCTCACTGCAACCTCCGCCTCCCTGGTTCAAGCAATTCTCTGCCTCAGTCTCCCAAGTAGCTGGGATTACAAGCGCCCACCACCACACGCAGCTAATTTCTGTATTTTTAGTGGAGACAGGGTTTCACCATTGGCCAGGCTGAGTCTTGAACTCCTGACCTCATAATCCACCCGCCTTGGCCTCCCAAAGTGCTGGGATTAAAGGCGTGAGCCACCACGCCCAGCCTATATATTTCTTATTAAAAGTAAAATTGGAATGCTATTAGGTTTAGAATCCTGCTTTTCCCAATATATGGTATTCATTTCTCCAAATAAGTCTTCAATAGCAAGACATTTATTTATTTATTTATTTATTTAATGAGATGGAGCCTCACTCTGTTGCCCAGGCTGGAGTGCAGTGGCATGGTATCAGCTCACTGCAACCTCTGCCTCCCAGGTTCAAGTGATTCTCATGCCTCAGCCTCCCAAGTAGCTGGGACTACAGGTGTGCGCCACCATGCCAGGCTAACTTTTGTACTTTTAGTAGATATGGGGTTTTACCATGTTGGCCAAGCTGGTCTCGAACTCCTAACCTCAGGTTATCTGCCTGCATCAACCTCCCAAAGTGCTGAAATTACAGGCATGAGCCACTGTGCCAGTACCAATAGCAAGATATTTAAATGGTAGCATTATATTTCATTGTTATTGATTTAAATATTTCCCTTATATTGGACTTTCAGGTAATTTCCATTTTTTCACCACTCAAATATGATTTTCCTTGCATGAAAATCTTTGATTGTTTCTGTTTCCTTAAATAACTGAGAAAGGAATTACTGTCAAAGAGCATGAACATTGTGAAGACTTTGGATCCTTTTTTCCAAACTGCCCTCCAGAGAGTTTGTAATAATTTACATTCCTGCCTGCCTTCTCACTTCTGCATCAACACTTTAATTTTTCCCAATGTTTCAAAATTTTGTTAGAAAAATGACAGCTTACTGACAGTATTTTATATTTTATTACCAATGAAATTGATTATTTTTTCATATGTTTCTTGCCTGTCTGTAGTTCTTCTTTTGGAACACTTAGTCCATATCATTAGTCTAATTTTTCTATCAATGTGTTTGCTTTTTTTCTTTATTTGTAAGAGCTCTTTATATATAAGACTATATATATATAGTCTAGTGGTGCAGCCTGTAATCCCAACACTTTGGGAGTCAGAGGCAAGATAGGAGGATCCCTTGAGCCCAGGGGTTCGAGACCAGCCTGGACAACAGAGTGAGACCCTATCTCAAAACCAACAACAACAATTTATCTTATGTTGTAAACATTTTTCTTCATATGCCCTTAAACTTTATTTTTTAAAAATTGAATAAGGATTTACATCTTCATATAGGTAGATTTATTTATGTTCCCCTTTGTGGTTTATTCTCTCATTTATGTGTTTACAAAGGTCTTCACCCAAGTTAAGGTAAATATTCAGTATACTTCCTTGCTGGGGTTATGTTAAGAGATGTGAGAAGATACTATGAGAGACTCCCAGTACGTTTACAACGGTTTCCAGTTAAATGAAGTCTTCCCACGTTTCCCAATCACTCAAATTAAACATATAGAATGGATTCATTTAAATCTGAATATAAAACTAATTGCACAGCATGTTTCTCACTGGTCTTCTTATTGCCTACCTCGGGCACAGTCTCTTTGGCCTCAGTGGTCCCTTTAGTTTTTAACCAGTGGCTAAAAACTAGCTCTTAGGAAGAGCTGCTCTCTTCTGTACCCCTAGTGGTCGTAATTTCGCGCTCACCTGCCCCCGCTCTGCTCTACAGTTCCACACTCCCCAAGCCCCGCCGAGAGCCCCTGGCTCCCGACCCCGGGTTACCCCAGGTCACCCCAGCCACGTCTCTGCACCAGCGGCCCGCTCACGTACCCAGTTCTAAGAGCTCTTTCGCGATGGCCTTTCCGATGCCCGTGGCCCCGCCGGTGACGATGGCCACTTGGCCCTGCAGCAAACCAGGCGCCAGGACGCTCTTGCCCTTAGCCCAGCCCGCCATCCCTGCAGCCGGATGCCAGAGGACGCGAGAGCAGACCCCACGGTTTGCCGGACAACAAGAGGCGGAAGGGCGGGGCAAGGGCGGGGCGGGGCCAGAGCCCACGTGACCGCTGGGACCCCGCCCCCTCTCCGGCCCGGCCCCGCCCGCGCGCCGCTGCAGACCTGCATCCTTCCGGACCAGGACCGTTCCCCATCCGCTGTCCGCATCCTCCGCCAGCGCCGGTCCCTGGGCAGGTGTGGGTGAGACTCCTCGTTCATTTCTTTACATTTCGATGCCATTGGGAAAAGGGTGGAAGGGAAATGAAAAAAAAAAAAGAAAGAAAGAAACAAGCAGGGTGTGCTCTATTTCGAAAATTCAATCCTCAGTGCTGTAGCTCTCACGATTAATTAAAATTAAATCTGTGCAGCTGGAAAAAGAAAGGCGGCAGCTCGGCGCCCTCGCTGCGCCCCCCGCCGGGGTCGGACGTCGGCGATGCTGGGGCTCCAGGTGCTGTGTGCGGCTGTCTGGGAAGGGGAGAAGAGGCAGGCTTAGCTGAGGGGGAGAAATGCGGCTTCCAGATCCTTTCATTCTTCGGGAGGTAGCCCAGAACAGAGAGTGAAGGGGAAAAGGAGATACGATTGCAGTTATCGACAGAACCAAGAAAATAAATGATTTAAAAAATAAACTCGGGCCCACCACTGTCTCACTTCCCACTCCCCACCCAAAAATCAAGGGAAAGACCATCTTTACCAGATTTGAGACCTCAGCCATTTCAGCCGGGCTGCATAGGAAGTGCAGAAGAGGATCTTTCGTTGAAGGGTGCACGCTTCCTGCAAGATGCATCTATAGGTGTGTGTTTGAGATCCTGTCCTGTAGTTCGTTCCTTGTGCAGGAGGGCAAGCCCGCACAGGATGGGGAAATTTTCTTATCTGTGTTATGGTGCCCAGTAACAGTGATTTATTATTCAGATCTGCCCCTTATCTTTCATCTTGTCTCCTGCTGTCAACTCACCAGAGTGAGATTACACCTGGACTGGCCTACTGAGACTTCACCTTAAGAACTTGGCCGAATGTGTCAGTTGCCATGGTCTTAACAATGCAGGCAGGATGCTATTTCTAAGGCTGTTGTCCGAGTGTTGCATTTTCCTCTGCCAGGTATTAAAATAATTTAAAGGCAAGTAAATACCATCATCCTTTTGTTGGGGCTCCCACCTAGTATTCACAAAGCCAGTTGGAAATGGGTCTGGTTGACAGAGGAATCAGACATCACTTCCTCCACCAGGTCCCACCCACCAGCAAGGCTGCAGTTCTTGTTGTACAGCTACACTTCCCTGTTCCTCCATCCTCTTACCCTTCTCTGATCCCCTTTTCCCTCTATCTTTGTTGCCTACAGATTGAAATCCACACTCATTAAAGAAAGGAATAAATTTCTTCCGGTTACCATTTGCTGGATAGTTTATCCAGGAATCACTTACCTCTACTACTTAAGTCAATTCCATAGTTAGGACCAAATTTTTAAGATTACAACACCATCACCTCCTTTTAAACAAAGCAAATTCAAACAGGAAAGCTCAAAGTATTGTTGCAGAAAAATATAACTCCTTTTGGTTTGATCCCAATGACAAAGTATTTTTTAAGGAAAAGAAATATTGATTCAGTTCTGAGGCATATCTTGTTCAAGAAAAGTCCAGGCTTTCTTTCTTGTGGGTGAGGACACTTTAAATTCTTTTAAATGATAACTTCATTGAAGATATAACTTAAGATGATTTATGCCCTGATCTGGACCTATAGATTCACAGAGGTATGCCAGGGTAGCTCAGTGGGAATCTGGGTGTGTCGCAGCTTCCGTGTGGCTGCTGAGTAGACCGAGAGTGGGATTCTGATGTCTTCCAGTGAAACAGGCACTGGGGGCTGCAAGCCAGTTATGCCCTCTGAGGATAATAAGATGCCACCCCTCAGCTGCAAGGAAGTTGCAGGATGAGCAGTATTTTTCGTGCAGAAAAGCGATTTTTCATGATCCAGGCAGAACCTGCGATTAAGACAACTTTGGGGTCTCTTTAAGCAATCTTTTGATTAAAATTAGGAGACATTATCTCTTTGCCTCTGCCTCTGACCTCAGTCAGGGTTTCAAAGTCAGCTAACCCCAAAAGGCCTGGAGACACAGCAATAGTTCTGCTCTTTGTTTTCAGATTTTAATTCTGCCTCTGGTTGAGGCATCTCTTCCCAGGGCCACCACGCCTGGCTGCATTGACCACTCCTTCCCTGTGCTCTGCGTCGCTGCCCCCTTTGTCCTGGGGAAAAAGGCATTCCTGTGGCCAAGGTCCTCCCACACCCCCAAACTGCTCCCCCCAGCTCTGTCATACCCCATTAGCAATGACTGCCTTCATCTTCCCACCCCTCCCCCACCCCATCTGCCTGGTAACTTTATTTTCTCCCCTCTGCAAAGCAGCTGCTAGCTCAGACTGACAGGGGCTTGTGGGATTCTCAACATTTCGACTCCCAGAATCTCAGTGCTGAAGGAATGTCAGTGAGGCATCTGGTCCTGCCCCCACCGTGGAGCAAAACTACCTAGCAATTGTGCCATAACGAAGCATATCAAGGAGCTGATTAATGTCTTTTTATTAAACTTCTCCTTAGTCTCAGTCTTTGACAAAAATAAGCCAGTCCTGAGTTGCTGCCATTAGATTTATTGAACATCTACTTGTTGGCCTACGTCTATGGTACCACTTCATAGAGCTTAGAGTCTAGTAGAAGAGATATGCAATAAATAAGTAAAAGAAAAATAAATACTAATTACAAATGTTGATAAGTCTTATTCAGGAAACAAGCTGTTATGATAAAGAATAATGAAAGGCAGAGCAGGGAGTCAAGTTTTTAGTTCGGGTGTGTCAAGAATGGCTCAGAGGAGGAGACATTTGAACACGGACTCTATAAAACAAAGACAGGCATAGGAAGGGGCAAGGGTGGAGAAGCAGAGCAGCAAGGTGGACAGTACTTGAGAAGATCCCAAGCATTAGGAAGCATTTGGTGCTCTTGAGGAATAAATACACAGCCAGTGTGATTGGAGCACAGTATGTCTGCTATGGTGGTATAGATGGGATGGCGGGATGGGGAGGTCCTTAGGCCACGTGGCCTTGCACATGTATAACAGTAGGAAGTTACAGGAGGATTTTAAGCAGCAAACAGCCTGATTTTCTTCATGTTTTCAAAAGATGTTTCTGGCCAGGTGCAGTGGCTCACGCCTGGAACCCTAGCACTTTGGGAGGCTGAGGAGGGCAGATCACTGGAGGTCAGGATTTCAAGACCAGCCTGGCCAACATGGTGAAATCCCATCTCTACTAAAAATACAAAAATTAGCTGGGCTTGGTGGCACGTGTCTGTAATGCCATCTACTCGGGAGACTGAGACAGGAAAATCGTTTGAACCCAGGAGCAGGGGTTGCAGTGAGCCAGGATCACACCACTGCACTGCAGCCTGGGTGACAGAGCCACACTCTGTCTCAAAAAATTAAAAAAAAAATTTTTTTTAATAAGATTTTTCTTACTGCTGAGTGGGGAATTGATTGAAAGGCAGCAAGAGTGGAAGCTGGAAGGTAGGAGAATTTTTTCTATAACCAGTTAAGAGACAATGGTCTCTTAGACCAAAATGGAAGCAGTGGAGATGGGAAAGTTGGGTGGATGAATTTAAGAATTATCTGTCCAGCCGGGCACGGTGGCTCACGCCTGTAATCCCAGCACTTTGGGAGGCCGAGGTGGGTGGATCACAAGGTCAGGAGTTCGAGACCAGCCTGGCCAAGATGTTGAAACCCCGTCTCTACTAAAAATACAAAAATTAGCTGGGCATGGTGGCACGCATCTGTAATCCCAGCTACTCAGGAGGCTGAGGCAGGAGAATCGCTTGGACCTGGGAGGCGGAGGTTGCAGTGAGCCAAGATTGTGCCATTCATTGCACTCCAGCCTGGGTGACAGAGTGAGACTCCTTCTCAAAAAAACAAACAAAAAAAAAAGAATTATCTGTCCAAATAGGCCCACTAGTTTTTCGTTTTTTTTTTTTTTAAAAGAATTATCTGGAGAATTGTCTTCAAGAGTGGCTTAAAACCGGTTATTCTAAGCATGAGTTCCAGAGAATGAGCATGTTCTTTAAAACCTATTTTCCCCACTACAATGATCAACAGTCCAGAGCTAATGATTGATTGAAATTAATACTCTGCAATATCACATTTGTTTTTTTGTTTGTTTGTTTTTTTTTTTGAGACGGAGTTTCGCTCGTTACCCAGGCTGGAGTGCAATGGCGCGATCTCGGCTCACCGCAACCTCCGCCTCGCGGGTTCAGGCAATTCTCCTGCCCCAGCCTCCTGAGTCGCTGGGATTACAGGCACGCGCCACCATGCCCAGCTAATTTTTTGTATTTTTAGTAGAGACGGGGTTTCACCATGTTGACCAGGATGGTCTCGATCTCTTGACCTCGTGATCCACCCGCCTCGGCCTCCCAAAGTGCTGGGATTACAGGCTTGAGCCACCGCGCCCAGCCTCACATTTGTTAATAATTTATTTATTTTTGAGACAGATTCTTGCTCTGTCACCCAAGCTGGAGTGCAGTGGTGAGATTTTGGCTCACTGTAACCTCTGACTCCCAAATTCAAGTGATTCTCCTGCCTCAGCCTCCCGAGTAGCTGGGATTACAGGTGTGTACCACTATGCCCAGCTAATTTTTGTATTTTTAGTAGAGGGGGTTTCACCATGTTGGCCAAGCTGGTCTCAAACTCCTGACCTCAGGTGATCCGCCTGCCTTGGCCTCCCAAAGTGCTGGGATTATAGGCGTGAAACGCCTTAACCAGCCTGTTAATAATCTTTAGACTGGGAGTGGAAGTGGAAGATGGGCACAGCTTAACTTCCAGAGAAAAAAAACAAAGTCCTCCCTCTTCTCTCAAGTCTATGATTAAAGCCTTGGAGATTGGGTAAAATTTTCTTTTACCCTCTCTCTTGTGAAATCTAAAAGGAAGGAGAGATGTTTAGAACCTGCTTCTCAGATCCAATATTAACAGCATAATAAAGTGTATTAAAATGGGGAAGAGAATTAGCCTTTCTTT